GTTCCTTGTTAATACTATACATGTTGTTGATTGATTGATTGTTTGTTTGTTTAATTATGCGCAGCGCTACACAAGGGCTATCTGTGCTTTGCCCACCATGGGTATCGAAACCCGGTTTCTAGCGTTGTAAGTCCGCGGACATACCAACATGTTCGATGACGAGGAACCCACTTTGAGACTAATAATGGCTGGAGACGGCTTAAATGGGTAATGAAGAAAAACTTTAATATAAGTTTAACATGACAGCAAATGTACAACGTTTCGACAAGGTTTTGTCATCATCAGGTACCCTTGTCGAAACGTTGTACATTTGCTGTCATGTTAAACTTATATTAAAGTTTTTCTTCATTACCCATTTAAGCCGTCTCCAGCCATTAATTAATACTGACGTCACGTTATTTGCTATTTTGTATACATCTGCTGTGCCACATGAACATCATTACTGTTCATATTTCACACTTAACCAGACAATCATTGAAAAAATCATCCTTAAAAAATAGAAGTAACTTGTCGACGAAAAACCACATCAAAACCAAACAGTGGCTGTATAACAACCTTCTCGTACAGCTAATTTTTATTTCTTCGGAAAACTTTGTGATTGCAAAAAAGGGTGTTACACTTTTTGCATTTTTCAATTCTCATATAGATATGTGTGTGTAAAAGCAAAAATACCATTTCAGATCCGACACCTACGGTCACTTAAATCATCAAGGGGTAGAAATTACACGGCATCTACAGAACTAAGTAGAAATTATATGAAATAACTCGAAACTGCTTTACTCAGCAGGATATCGGATTGTTTTGTACTGATACAAGCTCAATGTGCTTCATATTACAACCACAAAGATAAATGATGCAGCGTTCACGAATAAAACTAAAGGTGATCATTACGAGAACGTTAATATCTGAAAGAGAATGCTCATTAAATAGGCAATTAGAATGTTGGCTTTAATGTTATAGATCAATTTACTAAAACAGATTCCAAGTAGAAGGCCAGAGTGATGTACGTTAATGGCAGGACATCTCCAAGAGATCTGATCATAAAGTTATTCGAAGTACAAATTAAATGACATCTAATGTGATAGGTACACGTTAGCCCTATAACAACATACTAGAAATAAAATTTTATTCAAATGAAACAGAGTAAACTAAGACAGGAAAACGTACCAAAATAATAAATGAGATGTGACTATCTCCGGGAGCTGAACAAAGATAATCTACAAACTGTCATTTAATTTGTCTGTCTTCGGGTGCTGAACAAAGATAATCTACAAACTGTCATTTAATTTGTCTGTCTTCGGGTGCTGAACAAAGATAATCTACAAACTGTCATTTAATTTGTCTGTCTTCGGGTGCTGAACAAAGATAATCTACAAACTGTCATTTAATTTGTCTGTCTTCGGGTGCTGAACAAAGATAATCTACAAACTGTCATTTGGTTTGTCTGTTTTCGGGAGCTGAACAAAAAAAAAATATACAAACTGTCATCTGGTTTGTCTGTCTTTGGAAGCTGAGCAACGACAGTTCTCAAACTTACATTTGGTTTGACTGTCTTCGGGCTCTAAACAAGGATAATTCATGAGCTGTCATAGCAAACCTTGTAAAACATGTTCTAGAATTATCAAAACAACAATCGTTAGCAGATTTCCATAGTGTTTAGAATCTGTGATGGATGCCAGATTAAGCAACAATTTTTGTCGTTACTCGAAATGCCTTACGAGTACAAGTAGTGAAGTTGTCAAAATTGTTAAGATTCTTGAACAAAAAAGTGAAAATATTCTGTTTTTTATAATAAATAAACTTAGTATTCGAAATCTAAGTTCAAGGGAAGTCCAGTTCAATGTACACTTTGATCAACGTGTGTTATTGGGTTATGCTAGTTTCTAAGAATTCCACTCCTCATCAGCAACCCTGAACACAAGTTAACCAAAGAGAGGTTAGCTGGACCTATATCATAGTGAAAAGTATCAAACATATTGTTGGTGTGAACATGCTTTATAGTCATTATGAGAAAAACCTGAACGTCTGAACAGAAAACCATATTTAGGGCTATTCTAAAGGGAACAAGAGTTGAGTGGCATACCAGAGCCAAACATATGACACTGATCAACCCAGTGAAGTACAAACTTTTATTGTTCTTTGTCCGAAATGAATAGAGGACTGTCCAAATGAGAACAATAGCTAATTATCATGTTGTAAACTAGAGCTGTTTATATCAGGCTGAAATTTCATTTGGTGAGTCATACCTTATCACATACTCATTTTTAGGGCTCTCCTAAGGAGACCAAGGTTAATATATTGTTTTATCTGTTTCAATTATCCCCCTAAACCTATCCGTGAAAATCACGATTGTTGCGTTATACCTGTTCTTTACTTCATAATAGTTAGATAGTTATACATGTACATATGTATATGTATGTATATATATATATATATATATATAGTACTTGTTGTTTAGAGCAATTAATATGCAATTTAAATTACATTTTCTCTTTATATATTAAATATTTTGTATCCGTGCCTTCTACACGCAGTCATCCAAAGATACTACAAGGTTAAATATCTTGTATCCGTGCCTTCTATATGCAGTCATCCAAAGATGCTACAAGGTTAAATATCTTGTATCCGTGCCTTCTATATGCAGTCATCCAAAGATGCTACAAGGTTAAATATCTTGTATCCGTGCCTTCTATATGCAGTCATCCAAAGATGCTACAAGGTTAAATATCTTGTATCCGTACTTTTCTTACTTATTTATCTGACGACAATACAAATGTGAAGTATGCGTACTTTTTACTTGTAGTTGTTCTTACGATACAAGTTTGCAGCTAAGATATTTTTACTTGTAGTTGTTCTTACGATACAAGTTTGCAGCTAAGATATTTTTACTTGTAGTTGTTCTTACGATACAAGTTTCCAGCTAAGATATTTTTCCGTAGTTGTTCAACAACACCAACCGGATATTTAATGTACTTTTTTTTCTGGTTTTAAACTAGTGCAAGTTTGAAGTGTAACATAACTATTGTTTTTAGCGTTTTAAAGACACTACAGATTTGAAATTTAATGTAATTTTTACAACACTATAAGTTGCAAGCGTAAAAAAAATGTACTCTCTTTCTGCATAATAGCGATTCTCTTGTTTCAATAACTTTCTCTTTGTAGTTATTCAACGACAATTCAAGGTTCAGGTACACGATGAGTTCGTATCCATGGGAAATGTTGCAGTACTGAGGTGTCACGTCCCTTCCTTTGTCCGAGAGTATATTTCTGTTCCATACTGGGAACGAGAAGATGGGGTTACCATTACGTCATCAGTACTTCAAGGTAACTTTACTTTATCTCGTTTCTTATGGATGATTTGTACTAGTAATCAATAGCATTAGATTCAGGTGTTTAAAGGAGCATTCTGTGATGAAGATACAGAGTGATATATTTTGTTATCTTGTTAGTGGATTTTGACAACAGAGATTGATTAAAATTTTTTTCTTAAATTAATGTTAACTTCTGATTAGATTAAGCTAACTACATAGATCAGAACTATAATCTGTTTTTACGTTCTTACTAGTAACAATTAGAATGCATTGGTTTCATCAGTTTGGTACTCTCGTTGCTAACGTTATTTTCAAACATAATCCCAATTATGTCTCACAAGGTTCGTCCAGCTATAGATAGGTTATCCTGAAATACATATATTAACAAAAAAATACAAAATAATCCTTATAACAAAAATATATAATAATAAAAACATTTTAGTCATTCGTTTGAACATTCTAGCATTATTGTGATACAAAAACTTGTAAGTAATGCCAACAAACTGCTCTAAGTATTTTATATAGCATTTTAGATAATTCAAGTGAGATTGAAATTGATAAGAGAGGCCTTCCTATTCTCTTACAAGAAATCACCAATCTACAAATGTTCTTAAGTGCTTTACTAATAAATCAATGTTGTATTTCTGGGCATAAACTAGTATTTTATATTCATGACATTATTGGTGGGAGAAGTACAGAAATTATATTTACAGTACCAATTCACGGATGTAGAAATAAACAAACTTTGAGTTAACGTGTATTTTCATGATTTTTTTTTCAATTATATCTGACAATGCTACAAAAATAAAATCATTACATAATAATCAAAATGTAGTTTTCTAGAATTAATTTTTAAAAAATTAAACAAATTAATTTATTTAATGCCATAAATTAAATCAAAATATTATTTTAATTATTCTCTGAACAGTGTAAAGTTATTACATTGCGTAAAGGCCCGGCATGGTCACGTGGTTAGGGCGCTCGACTCGCAATCTGCGGGTCGCGGGTTCGAATCCACGTCACACTAAACACCTTTCAGCCGTGGGAGCGTTATAATGTGACGGTCAATCCCACTATTCGTTGGTGAAAGAGTAGCCCAAGAGTTGGCGGTAGGTGGTGATGACTAGCTGCCTTCCCTCTAGTCTTACACTGCTAAATTAGGGATGGCTAGCGCAGATAGCCCTCGTATAGCTTTGCGCGAAATCCAAAACAAAACAAAACAAACAGTGCATAAAACAACAATGACTTCTTTGAGTTTTCTAGGTGGTTACGGCGCTCGACTCGTAATCTGAGGGTCGCGAGTTCGAATTCCTGTCCCACAAAACATGTTCGTCCTTTCAGCCGTGAGGACGTTGTACTGTGACGGTCAATCACACTATCCGTTGGTAACAGAGTAGCCCAAGAGTTGGCGGTGGGTGGTGATGGCTAGCTTCCTTCTCTCTAGTCTTTCACTGCTAAATTAGGGACGGCTAGCACAGATAGCCCTCGTGTAGCTTTGCACGAAATTCAAAAACAAAAACAAACAAAACAAAATCGTTTCCAGCTTGGAATCTTTGTTGTTGTTTTTTCTGATACCACTACTTTACCAGATTGATAGCCAAGTACATGATAAGAGGAAATTACAGTGTATTTCTAGTGAGATTGGAGCCAATGATTGCCGCTTAGTGATTTTTATATAATTCAAAGTTCTATCATTAGTCGTTATTACATAACATATATAACACGAAAGTGGAAAGTTTTATCGACTGACCTGCTTTAAACCAGCACACATTCTAGCTCGTGCACGTTGGTCGTTTCGCAGATCGTGATTTATTTCTAGTAAATAATAGGGATTGGGTTCAAAACTGTAGACTGTCTTTGTTCGACCTACCTACTCATCATACATCTAACCAAGTCAAGAAGTTAGTACATTGCCTCTTGTCTACTCTACAAGTTACTCTCTGTAAATCGTTTAGGACAAAGTTGGGATGGAGATCGATTGCAAAAGGCAGAGTAAAACGGTACTCAGTATATATTGAAAAGTATTTTCATGAAATTAGAATAATTCATATTATGACTATACAAATATGTATTTACATTGTATGAAACAAACTGTGCCGTTAATAATTGCTGTATTAGCCTTATTTAAGTGCAATGTAATATATGTATATTGATGACGTAATATAGAATAAAATGTTGTTGCCTCGCCTTCAAACACAATCAAGCATATTTTTGGTATCCACGTGTATTTTCACACCACCAAAGAAAAAATAATTACAATTTTTAACATGCTTTAATAATCTAAGGCATTGTTACTACACCGTCCAAGATATTCAAGCCTTGTTCGTGAACTCTAATGAATCCATATGTTTTCAATATGCACTGGTGAAGAACTTTAATTCAAACAATAGTGTTTCAAAGATATTCAAACATCGCTGATATACTTCAGTAATTACAATTACTGACACTTTACTCCAATTTATAGAAAAAGTGTTAAACCACAAAACAAGAAGGTCTATTTCTTCGAAAACATTAGGATTATAGGGGTTCTTTCTTTTTGAAGATTCATATATATATATCTATCGAATGTGGTTTCTTACAATTCAAACATAGTTGATACGTCATATTTTCATATTGTGTTGAAAACGTGGACACCAATACGTACAAATGTTCTTACAATACTCTCATGTATATTCCATTACTGTAGATCCATTATAAAAATGTTTGGTCTATATTTGATGGTAAAGTCCGAAATATAAGCATTTATCATTACCTTACGCTGACAATATTTGCATGGTGTTATTACATTTACTAAATTATTACTATATTTTTCTTATTATGTACATATTCTTATTAGACTTCCAGTATCTTATCATAAACTTAACATTTATACATGTTTTTTTCAGTCGTTATATATTTTCTTAATGGTCTTGCATCTTTTTACTATGGCGTATTAATACGTTTAAAGATGTAACTTCATTTACTTTTTGCAGTATTCTCTTAGACAGTTTTGTCATATAAACCCTACTTTAAGTAAAATGAGGAACTATTTTCTGTGTAAAATCTTTATAATATCAACTTCATTCATAAGGAAAACTATAGAATGATCTTATACTTATAGTTTCATAACAACTTCTCCCTCTGGTGACTAGTTCAAATAACGTTTTTCGTGTACATTATTACTTTTGGAAATTTGTCAAGATACATGCTTTTACAGCTGGTGCATAATTGAAATAAAAAAGTTTATAACTCCATCCTTATCTGTCGTCTCGATTCGTTCTGTAATATCGAACGGAAATTAAATGTCATGATTATAGACGTCCATCACTTACTTTCATTTTCAGGGTGCGCTTCATGTTACAGTTCAGGGTTTTGCATATCTAAACATATATATATACATATGTAAGCAAAACTGTTGTAAAGAGGGCGGAGTGATCTTTCTATTTGACAGAATTGATTAATTTATTGATTAGGTCTACGAAAACTAGACGACGAGGTTCTGATTAAGTTGCGGGTGGCTGACTAAATCACGATTATTAGCAGACGATCCACCAAGGTTATCTTTGTCCTAGCTTTCGGTGTTTCTTTGTCAAAAATCATTATTACAGTCATTATCTTTCCGTGCCAAGCCGTTTCACTATCTAAGCCGAAGCTATTGATTAATGTGTTGTTAGGCTTATCATCTCAAAGATAAGAGTAGAATCGAGCGTGATGCTGTCCTGAAAATCTTTAATTGAGATGTCTAAATGTTTCAAGATGTGGTTAACTCTTAAACTTGTTACCGGGAATTAATGTGAAAACTAAACAAGAAATTATCTAGAAATCTGCTGAAACATTCTTTCGTGGTTTTTTTTTTTAATATAACTTGTCAATCTTGTTTCCTGATTTTCATGAAGCAAGATATATTTTACTGGTGTAATTCTTCAGGCATATGTTTTGGGAGGTTTTTTTTTGTGATTAAAAATCTTTCCTTATCTAGTTAGTTCATGGTCTAATCTTGCTGAGTCTGCTACACATATAAGAGTGTGGAGTGTCCAGGAAAAGCTCGTTGTCGTTACTTTAACTTTCTCTTGTGATCAAGAGCAGTGGTTCTAACGTCTACTTGAGCACGAATATGGCAAAAGTTGGAAGGTACTTGAGGTTCTATCTGCTATTGGAAAGATTGAATGACCCCTGCCTGTTTTAAAACAAGTTTAACTAAACATTCGTTGTCTATGTTGTAAACAATCTAATTAGTCCCAACCCTCAAATATAAGCGAACAGCGTTTACTGTACTCATTAATCTTAAAAAAAGAAGTGATCATAAGTGTTAAGAATGTGTAAACACGTTAATGGAATCTACAAGCTTTAATTAATTATATTTATTGATCGTTTTTTGAACAATTGCTGTTATATTTAGTTTTTCCCAACACTGAAAACGCCTGGAATTTATTGAAGTCATTAAGATGATGTTGGAGTTAATTTTCAGTCATCTATTACAGCTGGTGAATTTTTACTTTTAGTATTTGATTTCGAGTAGTAATAACATATTGAATTTTAGTACAAAATTTATCTACATATTCAGTTTATGGCTTAGAATCAGTTACACAAGCTCATAATACTTTATAGAATATCAACATTCCACAACCTTGTCTGTCATGTCTTAATGTGTTTAATGAAAGTGTAGATAAAAAGGGTCTATTTTATATCGGAAAAAAAATACATATGAATCTTTATGCTATAGTTGTTGAATCACAAAACTGGTTATACAAATCCTCCCACGCGCTCCTGGTTTCATAGATATAAGTGTATCCTGAAACTAATGTCTAGAAGAAATGAATTAGTTATTTCACGTAACGCTGAATAAAATCCATTAAAACACCTTGAATTGAGATCTATGATATGTATGTTTGTGTTGGTGAACTGTAACTTAACCTTTCTTGTATACCCCTCATTTAAAATTACACACTATTGCAATAATACTGCTGATTATTTAATGTTTTACAATATTTTCACTAGGTGGCAGATACGGTATATTACCAAATGGTGACCTACACATTAGAAATGTGACAATGAAGGATGGGTTAACTGGTTATAGGTGTCACGTGCGTCATCGCTTGACATCGGATGTTACCTCTAGTACTGATATGGGTCGGCTGATTATCAACGGTAAGTTAGTTATTTGTTAATTCGAAACTGACGATACAGAAGTTCATATCTTCTCAAAATCCTCAGTTTATATGACACACGTGTTTACATAATTAAAATCTGATTTTATATGACACACGTGTTTACATAATTAAAATCTGATTTTATATGACACACGTGTTTACATAATTAAAATCTGATTTTATATGACACACGTGTTTACATAATTAAAATCTGATTTTATATGACACACGTGTTTACATAATTAAAATCTGATTTTATATGACACACGTGTTTACATAATTAAAATCTGATTTTATATAACACATGTGTTTACATAATTTTGATTATAAATTGTTTGGAAGTCTTTCTCTTCACACAAGAATGATTATTAAAGGTGGTCTAGTCTAAATTTACGTTGTGTGCTTGTGAATCTATTTACCCGCGAACTCAAACCATAGTTTGGGATCCCGGAGACGCAAGGGCTAAAACTATGTTCACACCTCACCCACAAACGTGACACATGTGCTCAGTACCAAGAGTGAGTGTCATAAGGGGGTGTATTTTCAGGTATGTACATTCCTTGGGGTAACTATAGAAATAAATAAGGATAATGAGGAGCTTAATCATTACAGTGGGACCTCTGTGAATCATGAGTGGAGAGAGAGGGGGTCTTTGAACCCCACAGAAGAGGCGGATATTTTATGTTAGTCTTTATAAAAAAAGAGTAATTGTAATTTCCAAAACACTAAATATATTGACATGATTAATAATTTAACTCTTTCAGCGATAAACTTTGTAAGTAGACAAGTGCGTTACACTAGTATGAATGTTGATTAACTCGTAAGGTGCAAACGATAGATAGACTGGTGTATGTTTCTGCACAAGACTGGCTGTCAACGTTAAGTTTTTTAATATTTTAGACACAGCATATATTGTTAATGTTAATTTGGCTTGTGTTTTTGGATGAAATTGATAAACAACTTTAAACTGAGCCTTTTTTCACAAAACTAATTCTCAAAGGTAAGCTGATCCTTACTTATGTATAAGCCTGATTAACAACGAAAGGCTCAATCTTGCTTACGTACGAAATTTACTGTTAGCAGTAAGTCTTTGTTTTAGATAAGACTTTTCCACAGCAGTCCCTCGATCCCTGTTTGTGTGTAAGATTGACTGTTAACAATAAGATGATTCGTATTTTCGAACACTGTAACTTTTTATCACAACATTGATTTTTAACAGTACACGTCAGATAACTTCTATTTGTATATAGTAAATTGAAATTATTGTTGAAATCAAAATTATAATAAATCTTAAAAAATAGATTAAAGATAACTATATTCACAACAGAGACCATACTATATATTTAACTTACGGTTTAATTAAAACTATAAAAAAAAACATTTCGGAAACGATTTTACTGATGAATAGTTCCACAAGTGAATTTTGAAATAACTTATAACTAAGACCAAAATATAATTACCATTCTAATCTAATGTGAAATAATAAGTAACTAAAACTGATAGCGAGAACAAAACTATTTCAAATGTAAGAATGAAAAATTTTAAGGATCCTAGAGTTCAATCATACAGAAATGAAAATTATAAAATATAATATTATTTTTGTTTTGTACATCTTAAAAGTTAGGACACAATTAAAGAAACCTCTCTCCTACTTTTTTTTTTGCAGGTAATACTGATACTCACTGTGCCCCTATTAGTTACACTTAAGGATAGCCTTATTGTTCTTGGCAAAATATTTTATTTCACGCATGTTATTTTATAGTTTTCGCTTACATATGTTTTAAAGGATTAACAAGGCTTCTATGGACAGATGATATTATTATAAGGACTTACTGAGGATATTTTTACTTTAGATAGACAGTGTAATTAGGGTCAGAGTTTCTATAGTTCTGTAGTATTTTAACACACCTGCTGTTTCTCTTTTACAAGTAAAACTCTTATTTCAACAAGACAACTATTATAACACTGTTATATGTCAGGTTTTATCATACATATTATACATTATTTGAACAAAGCTAATCTTATATCCAATAATTTACCTTACATATTTTTACAAGTATTGTCTTGAAAAGGACGATTATTCAAATGTCATGTTTAACTTATAAGTTAATCCATAAAGCTTAAGCGATTCATTTTTTAATTGCTCAAAATTAGTTCTAAAAACTTTAATTTTGAACTACTATAATATGCCAATTAACTTTGTTTTGTTAATTATGTGTCGTACTTTATAATGCTTTTGAACATTTCTATTTTATCATACTTGATGGAAGGTTTTGATTATAATAAAAAACAAAAACTTCCAGTTCTCTATACCAAAAATCAACCAGTGTTAAACCATTAAATAATATTTAAAATATCTTTTGTTGTGATAGTAGTTACCCCGGTTGTTGCATGGCAGACACCAAAAGGCGACACAAGTGTCGACCTCAGGCAATAGGAGAGGGGAGGGGTAGAGACAACTACGTCCACCAAATGAAACCACAGGGTACATTGTTAGGGATACGTTGCTAGGCCACATGACACCGGAAGTTGTCCAGAGGACGCGTTGATATGATAAGCGCGTATATAAATCATCATGACCTTTAATTTATGCTAAGAAAACCTTAAAATTAATAATTTAATCTAATTATTTACAGTTTTATTTTTTAAGTAAAACAGTAAATATGTTTCACAAAAGCAGACAGTGTTTGTGTGGGCGGAGTATGATGATCTCATCGTTAGGGGTCTCAACATGTGATGAGCATCTATATTTAACTACAGGTAAAATTATCATTCATATTTTATATTTGTTTACATTGCAATAAAAAAGTTGACAAATTATTTCATTTTATTGTAGTTTCCATTTGCAAATTTATTTGTCTTACAAAGGCAGTTGGTGTTACAATGTGGATTGCGATACTAATATTCTATAGGTGGATGGTGTTACTTGGTAAATTGTGTTTCTAAGGTTAGTGCTACTACAGCTGATAGTTTTTCAATAAATGGATAGTTAAATAGAATGATGAGCTCATAGTGGGGTGTCTCACCATGTCTCTCAATGTGATTACATCAACAATGTCTAGATTTAATTATGTGTCCAAAGAAGTTACAAGTAAAACAATTATTTTAATACACAATCTTACTGTTTTACTAGCTTGGCTTTATGGTTTAAATATGTTATTCCTCTACCCATATAACTATGATTTTGGTTGTTCTTGACAAATTATTCCATTTTACACATGTTACTTTATAGTTTTCACTTATATATGTTTTACAAAGTCTAATAGTGTTTCTATAAGCGGATAGTGTTAATCTTACAAAGTCTAACTAAGATTCTATACGTGTATGGTTTTATTAAGCGTATTACATGGGTTTTACAAAGGTGGATAGTGTTTATATAGGAAGACAGTTCTACAATAGTACCATAGAACTGCATACAGATTTCAACCTGTTTCAGCTTATGTTTATAGTTTTCATTTATATATTTCATTGTATCAAATACTTTTAACAAAGGCAGATGGAGTTTCTATAAGCAAAGAGTCGTGTTGGACTACACACAGATTTCAACTTGTCTCAACTTATGTTTATATATTTTCATGTATATATTACATGTTTCTATATGAGGATAGTGTTACTAACACATTTAACTTACTGCTGAGAAGTTTTTATTTTTTTCTCACACGTAATGTTTCGTTTTTATAAATATTAAACGTGACACCTTATTGTGTTTTTATGAGTTAGTACACACTTAACATACTTTAGTATAGTTTTTGCTTCTGAAAAGGATGCTTATTTAATTCTTTAAGTATCGTGGAATAATTGAACATACAAGCTTACAGTTTCAGTTGTTCGGTTTTTGGATTAAGTATACTATTCCTCTACCCATATAACTATAATTTTTATTGTTCTTGACAAAATATTTTATTTCACACATGTTATTTTATAGTTTTCGCTTACATGTGTTTTAAAAGACTGAAAATGCTTCTATGGACAGATGATATTATTATTATAAGGTCTTACAAAGGATAGTGTTATTTTAGGCAGACAGTGTAACCTAGGTCAGAGTTCCTATAGTTCTGTAGTATTTTAACACACCTGCTGTTTCGCTTTCACAAGTAAAACCCTTATTTCAACGAGCCAACTATTATAATACTGTTATATGTCAGTTTTTATCATACATATTATCCATTATTTGAATGAGGCGAATATTATAACCAATAATTTACTTTACATAGTTTTACAATACAGTCTTACAATCCAATGTAATAATACCTGTGGTATATACTTGTTCTAGCATGATATTAGTGAAATAGAATCAATCACCATAAACGAAACATACGGAGCATTTACCAAAGTTTCGTTATTTTGGAAACTATACAAAACATATCATGCACTTGAAATCCGTAACTAAATAGACTGTCCACGTCGTACTGAACATTATATCTTGACCCTCATATTACCTCTCCCCCTACAGCTTAAAATTACGTGTTTCACCATACCCTACTATGTTATTTTAAATATATATAAGTAAAGACTTGTCAAGTGTCACACATGATGAAACATTTAGTAACAAAACTTCAAGATACACTAATATACCATAAACATCATAGTTTATAGAATACTGGAATAGCTTTCATACATCTTTTGTACATTATGCTCACATTACTATTTCAGGTAGAGTTTATATTTTTCATCTGTGTAACAATATGTGTAAAGGAACACTAAATCTATCACGAGACATTTTAACATAGATTTTGAAACAATGTTACAGCAACATGTGGTGTATTTGCTATCATTTACATTTATACAAGAAACATCAATTTTTATTATTTGTCTTCTCAGTTACAATTAGTGTTCAATATCAAATGTAACAGATTTTGAACAAGTAGACTCTAAACCTGACTAAAGATCAAAGATTAGATAATTATGTGTCTAGCTTAACATCTTACGGTAAACTTGAGAGAAGACAAATTTAGTAAAACATAGACGAGACACAGTCTTATATTTATCTAGATGTAT